AATAACAAAGTCATCTTCTTTCTAATTCCATGAAGTAATATCCGTAAGACTTAATACTGCTGTTCCTGCATGGCCTTTTATTTTCCATTGTTCTATTAACTCCTCTATCCAAGGCTGACTTTCAAAGATAGGCATTTGAGCCGAAACTTACCCTTCTCAAAGCCAAACGTCTACGTTTCCAGAAGTTCACCGATTTACCCCCCAATTAGCGTTTACACCCAAACCTATGAGAAATTCTTCATCCGTTAACTGAGCTGACTTTCTTCTCAGACTGTCGCTATCGCCGAAAATTTGTGATCAGCGAGTGAAGAAATTCCAGAAAAAACATCTGGATGTAGATACAACAGAAAGACCCAGAAGACCCATAGATAACTTTCGAAATAGCTTAAGTTCAGTTGCTCTGAATTCTTACCGTATTCCTCTTTTTGGACAGTGGTCACTCCGACGGCCATTAAAGTCGTAGGATCAAAATTTCAGAATATAAGAAAACGAACCAGGATGCTTTCCGTTCTCCATCAGCATGTATGATCAGAGCACGAGCATCTCGAGCAGCTTCCGCTTCTGCAGCCATCGATCTCATCAGCTGATGCGGTAACCGGATATCTTTGATTTCAACCCGTTGCACCTGCACACCCCATGGATCTGTTCCCTCTTCCAAAACTTTCTCGATTACCTACAACATTTTTGACTCAAAGCAATTTTTAAGCATCGTAACCGAAGTTTTCTATAAAACCTAAAAAAACCAGGGTTCGACTACGCTGAGCGTACAACCAAATCCTCCACATTTTGTTCACTCGATTCGAAAATTAATTATTACTGCAGCAGGTCCCAAAGGACAAACTCGCAAGCAGCCTGCTTCTAAGTAACTCTCGAAAGAAGAATTTACGGACAATCCTGTCCGCGAGTGATTGATACTGGTACTTGCTACCACTTAATATACATTCCAAATGCCTTTCCTTCACATATCGAGCAAATTTTTGCTATGAATTTGAATAATGCAAAACAAACATTAGCAATGCTGTCCCGTTCGCTGAGCATTTCACTAAGTGTACGAGTGCCAAGAACATTCCGAAGCGTTGTTTGGGCCAGAAGTTTTGTGCTGAATTGCGCATCATTGACGTTTGTTACCGAGATAACCGGATTATTGACTCGGAAATAGATGACAGCCTCCACGGATACCGTGACAGAATCACGGCTCAGTATTTCCTGCGGCGGCACATCGAATGAAAGCACTCGCAAATCTACCTGAAATATTACCTTCAATTATAAGCCATAAGTAGACAACGGCGAATTAAAACAAAGTTTGAAGGAAAACACATTGAGAAACGGAAATATAAATATAATGTGGAAGCAACTGAAACAAAGACCAAAACTAATGAACTGATAAGGCTGATAAAATTGATGAAGTGATAAGTCTAATTAAGTAAAACAGCTGCGGTAAGTATTGACTGACGCTTAGTATTTGATGGAATGGCCTTGCAAACGTTAAGGAAAATATACCTCACAGGGGTGTAGGCTCAGAGTCATCAAATTTACCGAGATGTTTGGATTATGGCCAGTATTTGCATGCATCCTGGTAACGCGACTAATACCGATTTTCCGGGCAGTCCTGACAACCATTTCATTTTTTTGAAGATTAAAAACACATAGGAAAAAAAAGTTTCCCCAACTTTTACTTACAGCACTCTATGGAGTGTTATTACTGGACTGAGAAGAGTTAAGCAGAGGAGCTCGGGGACTACCTCTTGTATTAGCAATTGCCAACAGCAACCATCCGCTTACAAGACAGTCGAAGGCTCCCTCCTCCAAGGACTGCTTGCAAGCAAGGCAGCAGAACTCAACTAAGATAAAATTCTGTCTGAGCGTGCAGGTACCAGGGTTCTTAAAACAAGAAGATTTTGGAGCTAGGGAATTTAGAGAAAAGTCTTAAAGACAAAATGAGCCAAATATGATCAAACTTTAATCAGAACCACCCAAAATTCAAATTGCTCTGACAAATCAAAATTCGATAAAACTTACGATGCGAAAAGTATCAATACAAGGCATAATGAAAAATAGTCCCGGTCCTTTAGTACCACCATCAATAAGGCGTCCGAGCCGCATGACCACTGCCCTTTCATATTCCCTGCAAAAAATTGCGTTTGAGAACAGGCAAGAAATGCATAATTCCAACACATTAAGCATAATAAACCGAGTCAATTAAATAAAATTAAATTTTTTTTTTGATAGAAATGCGAAGCACAGAAAAAAAAACAATAGAAGTTTTCATCAACAAAAATTTATTACTTCACTAACCTTTTGCAAAAAATGTAATATTTGTTATTTACTAATGCTTAATTCTTTGTTTCTAAGCTCTTTTTCTTAATTTTTTATTCATTGTTATTTATTTTTTATGTGCTTTTTACACAAAATAACAAAAGCCTTGTTAACTACTTCTAGAGGTAACTGTTGAACGGTCATCCTTTTAAAAACGAACGTCAGGATCGCCAGCAGACTGACCCCTACAAAATACAGCATTGGTCAAAGCAAACGGAAAAATTGCCGCTGCGCAGACATGGAGAAGCTATTCCAGGTATTCTAGATTTATTAGAATTAAAAGTAAATTTAACCATTGAAGAACGCATGCTTCATAAGAAACGAACCTCGCAACCTTGAGG